TTCATAATTTTTCGCTCAGAAACATCGTAAAGAGTTCAATTTTTTTTTATGTTAAAAGAACAAAGTTTTATCTTCGAAAAAAAAAACATAGGAAAAAGTTTTATTTTTCGGATTAATTTCGAATGAGACAAAAGTTCGATAGCAACTATCACCAAAAAAAAAGTCTTTTACAACATTCCTTTTTCTAAAACATATTCTCTGAAATAGCATGCAATTCTCTGTAAATTTAAATTATAGAATCTATTAACAACGTGTTTAAGTCTTTAATTTTTTATCTGTTTAGTTTTTAAGAAATTTTTGTCACATGTTTTTAATTGTACTTTGATAGATAAAATTTAATTTTAGCAAAAAAAAACTTGAAAATTTTTTTTAAAGAAAATATCTGCGAGAAATTCAAAGAAAAATATTTAATACTAAGATGTGCAGCTAAATGTCTTTTTCGAAAAATTCAGAAACAAAGATTTATTTATTTTTCTTTTTTTTCTAGGACTTAAAGGTTTTTATAATATTAGATTTGTCTTAAAACACATGATGTTTAATTGAATTAATACTTCAATATTATCGACGATCAAATACCAAAATTAAAACAAGATCATGTACGTTTAAAAAAAAAGTAAAATAAAATAAAAAGTAATGCATGTTGTTAAACAAAATAACACGAAGTGAAACAGATAAGTGTGTGAGTGTAGGTTTATGTTCCATCAATATTCACACACCATAAAACATATAAAGCCTTCGACATATTAGAAGAGTCCGGATCTTCTATTCTATCTTATCGTTCACAAATTACAAAGGGGAAGATCTTCTATTATTATGAATGCACTGATTTGTCATCAAAATGTTTGGGCATTTTTGTAGTAGAAAGTAAAAAGCACAGAAAGGCCTTTTAATTAATATACAATGGAATATTACAAAATAAAGTCCTATATCAGAAATATCCGTTCATGTGTGACTCGTGAAACTATGCACTGCACCAATTAGGACCTGCGACCATGGAAACGATGTTTTTGGTATAGATAATTCAAGAAACTTTTCTTCAGATTATGTTGCAAATGGGAACTAACACGTTGCGATGACGAGGGAAGCAAAAGTATAGTCCATAGTAAACCTAAATATTATTATAGATATCAATACTAAAAAATAAAACGTATCATAAAAAATTCGTTTTGGAACAGATTGTTTGCGGATGAGTCATAGGAAAGTTGTATAATATATTCGAAATAAGATTTTTCATTTATACAAGTGATGAAGAATATAAAGTCATGATGAAAACATGGAAATTTTTAAGCCCATTTATAAACACATTGAAATATATTTTTTTCCTCTTAGTTTTTATGAGTTTTATTTTTTTATTCTTATACTATTTTGGTTAACTATCTCGTTCGTTTCTGAGATTCGTCCAATCAATTATATATAAATATTTTACGATAACGTATGTTTTTACTGATGATAGCAGTTTAGTAAATAAATATGAGATTCTTGTAGTTAGAATAGTTTTATCATACAGTTCCATTTATTACTGGGTGTTTAGTTTCTGAACTGAATAAATTATTACAGAAGATTTTCCTATCCAAAGACTTAGTTTGCTTGAAAAATAGTTCAGATGAGTTATTGATTATTATAATCTTGTCAATATTTTGTAAAAATAACTAATTTGTTTAATGTTACACTTAATTAAGTCTATGAATAGAGAAATTTTTTCTGTAGTAGTTTACCCGTTTCAAAAACCAAATGAAAACACACATTTAAAAAAATCTATTATTATGATGAATGCTGAAGAGGTTGTTGAAATTAATTTTTGAGTTTGATTAATGCATATGTTACGTCAAGCAAACATTGATAAGTATCGAATAGCATAGAGAATTTTCATTGATCGGCATGGCAAAGTATTAACTAGTTGATTGAAAATCCAGATACAAGTAAGACAGATGAGTATCTTACGACATCAACGGTACCATCAATAAGATTTCACAAGTTGATCAAGAGAAACATATGAATATAACCATTGAGCTAATATATAACAGTATGATTAACAGACTCGTGGATGTATAACTTGGAAAATTATTGAGAGATGTAGATGATAATAATGAACAGTCTTCTATAACTATTAAACTTCCGATTAAACTTCGGAAAACTAATCTAAACATTTGATTGATCGACTGAATAGTTCATGATCTTAAATGTTTTTCGTATATATTCTTTATTTCAGAAGCTTATTCGAATAAATTATAAATCATTCTCGATTCAATGAGCTCGCTTGAATATTTGTTCACAAGAGATAATCGAAAAAAAAAGTAAAAATAGACTATTAATATTACCCAATGTTCAACACACAATTTATTAGACCAAGCGAACATACGATTAAGACTTGATTTCAATCTATAGAAAACAAACAAATATTTTATAGAAACATTGATACCAATTAATGTCATCAATGGAATTATAAATATAGAAATCAATTCTTTTCTTTGATAACAATTTAAAAATTGTACATACTGAAAGTGAGAATGAAAAAAATTAGGCATATCAATCTTTTCATCTACGTTGATATTATTGTTATTGTTATTGAACAGAAAACGATAGAATAATTGCCCAGTTTATTCCACTAAAACAATCAATTGTTATAGAATACATCTTTTCTCTATCAATAACAAGACAATTGATAGAAATACTCAATGCTCAAATAGTTAGAAATGATAAATTAACACCTTATAACAAGCACTTTTTTCCTTTTCACGCATTTAAAAAAAATATCAAAATATTTGCATTTTAACAGTTGTTATAATTTTGACATTAAATTGAACAGATTAGTACTATTTGTATATTGTCTTGCCTTTCATTATTCAGTAATCAATACTCATTCCAATATGAGCATAAGTTGATTATTATTCGTCTCAAGTATCTCATACATTGTTTCAAATCAACACTTCAAAATTAATCGGACTTTTTTACATAAAAGTCTATGTATGATCTTTAGATTACAAAAAAAAAATCATGTTGTCAGAATAATTGTTCGATCGAAACAAACGAACAGATATAGAGGACTATATATAACACTTTATTCTCTCAGATGAATGCTGGGATCGAATTGTTTACTAAAATTAAATAGCAAAAACAAGTCAGAAATTTTAGTACACAAGAGATAAATCAAATGTTATGATCTAATGTACATACGTAGAGTGCTTTTATCAAACGTAAAGTACGGTCAATGTAATGTGCCTCATTGCACTTGTTTCTATGCTTTGCCAGTAGAAAAAGAAAAAAATCAATACTGATCGACGAATACGTCCTTTGAATACGTTACTCAGGTGAACATACAATCTAACGTATTTTACATCTGTAAAGTACGTTACATTATCGGTATAGTATAAATGCAATGTTCTTACTTCATATTATCCATAAAACAAATTTTATATATTTCACAATTAATAACAAGATGCCTCCTCTTCAAGAAACTAATGAACATATCAATCAAGCATTCATTAATGTTCATCATGATGACACAAAGAAATCCAATGACAACTCACAAACTCAATTTGTCATAAAAATGAATGAAGTTGATACATTACAAGTTCAAATATCAGTTGATGGTGCTCGAAAATTAGCAGCATTATCTCCACGTATCACTGTTACTTTTCATAATATTTCAAAAATTATCAATGTTCCAGCAAAAATGATTGATCCATCATCGAAAGCAAGATTTATTCAACGAAAATTACTTGATCAAGTTTCAGGACAAATTCATCCAGGACAATTAGTTGCACTTATGGGACCTTCAGGTTGTGGTAAAACAACATTACTCAATACATTAGATGGTCGAGCATTAAATGGTGTTACTGGTAATATTTGATTTAATAATCAACAATATGATAAAAGTATGAAAAGAAAATTAGCTTATGTTCTTCAACAAGATTTATTCTTTGAAAAATTAACTGTTAAACACAAATTAACATATACAGTTTTACTTCGATTACCACGTAGGTGAAGTTAGCACCATATTCGAGTAAATCCTTCCCATATTC